AATGATTTTATGAAAACCAAAGGCGGGCAGATGCACCCAAAGCTGTCTTTACTTTCTTTACTCCACCAGTTCACACACCTTTTCACAGAAAGCCACACAGCATGCAAAACCATACTAAATAGGCATTTTGGATGTGGAAGCAAATGTAGAGTGAGACGTAACTGAAGTTCCACTACCCAAGTTAACCTTCCTTTTAACATAGACTTGAGTGAATGAGTTTCACTGCTTTTCAGGTAGTGTTTTGTGAAAATACAAATGGAGGCCACCTGAGCCCTCGTACTAAACAGTGCTGGCAGTCTTTGCTTCAAATGAAGTCAATGGCAACTGCAGCTGCTCAAAACAGATGTATGTTAGAGCACCGCAACAGCATTTTTCCTGGTACATGTAATTATTGCTGAAGGAGATACATGAGAGACAACAATGTCTGGCAGAGGGAAGACTTTAATGAGAATAAAAAGAATCCTGGGCCAGATTCACAACAGTTTGCCTATAAAATAGCAGCCCAACCTGACAGTTGTAGATGAGAAAAACCTGAAATTATCATTCAGACATATAATCACATAATCTTATAAATAATGTGTCTTTAAGTAGCATCAATACCTGTTCAGGGCCCTCATTGCTGGATTCAACGAATACTGAGAAAAGGTTTTCGACTGCATAAACACAGCCCAATTATATTAATCTCATCCTCTTAGACAGTATTCTGCTGCTACATGTATAGTGGCACTCTTTTTTACCCAGTTAATTACACTAGGCAAACCAAAACAGATTTTACTGCATTATATAATTCGGGCTGTGTCTACTTCAGGGCTGCCAACAGTAAGAGCAAAAGCCCTTTCACATCATTTGGTTGTAACACCACACTGGCTACAATTCTAGTCTGTATCCAGTTGAGAATAGCTGCCACTTATGGATGGACAGACAAGTTACTTGTGCTAGATCTGGGGCAAGATCTTTATGCTTACATGTTTGGTGTCCTTGAAGTATGGAATAAGTCATATATGTAACACACTCTTGTATATAATAAGCATTTCAAGCATAAAAGAGGTAAACGGAGAGAAAAAATTACAGTTATTGTATCATTGGTTTTTGCTTACCACAAGTCCTAGCACAAGGGTACGCACTCTCTCCCCAATCTCTGGTGAAATGTCATTGCCAAACTGCTGTAAGGTTGTAAGAAATCTCTTCAGTTTGCTGAGCTGCCTAGCTCCACAAGCTGGCGGTAACTGCTGGTTAGCCAGAGAAGAGGAAGAGGAAGAGGACGGCCCATTGCTAAAGCCATTAGGAGGAGATGGAGCTCCATTTAACGCTGTTGGTGAATGGCTTGTGCCATTGGTTACTGGAAGAGAAAGAGAAGAGAGGGTAAAATAAAGAGAACAATGGAGATAGAAGGAAAACAGCTTAAAATTTTCTGTGCTTGACCTCAAAATTAATTGAGTTGCATGATCTACTTGTGACAGAGCAACAGACCACAGTTTAAATCCATTTCATAGTATCTGGTACTGAACACTGTACGGACTGGAAGTAACAACCTGTCACACAGTCCCCCCAAAGATCTCCTGAACTGAAATGAAAACCATTATTTGAATACCACAAACAATCAACAACATAAAAGAGAGAGAAAGAGAGTGAGAGAGAGAAAAACTAGAAACAGAGAAAGAGCATGAGCACGTATATGACTGAAAACAACAAAAAAAAAAACTGTTCTTTGGGGTAGAAAAAAATGTGCAGACATATTTCATGAAGCCTCAGTTTATCTCTGAATATTTTTACTCGTGTTTTGTACACACAACTGACAGCTGTGTTTATAAAACAGGACTTGCATGTTTTAACCTTACACCACCCAATGAGAAGGTTATTTTTTCTGATACAGATTTCCTAGCTGCTAACATATGGAGCACACTAAGCTGTTTGTGCAGGTACAAATGGTGCCATCCTAGCTGTGGCCCAGAGTTTTGCAGCTAGGACACTAAACTGCAAGAAGACTTCTCAGAGACCACAAGGAAATTACTCTGCTTTTCATGTGTCAGTATAGTATCTCTAAAAAGTATAGCAAAGCATTCTCCTCCTGTTGCAAGGTTGCAACCTTGACAACAACCATTTCTGGCCACCGTTTTAGTTTGATTCTTATCCGTACTCCAGAATAGAGCACAGAATCAAACTGAGGACATCTTTTTCCACCCCGGTTACAGCAGCACAGGCTCTTGAGTCCAACTAGGCAAAATGACAGTGAATGACAAGCAAAATAATGGCTCCCTATGAACAAAAATGCACAAATGCACTTGGAAGCATGGGCAGGCAGCACACAAGTATACCCAGCAGCAGCTACTCAGCTGGCTATTGCCTTGGGCAAATTTGTTGGCTCCTGATTAGGGAGTCAGTTAGAAATCATTTGTTGTGGTATCACTCACTTGGTGCAATCTGTCTCCCTACTCCAAAGCACCAAGACATTAATTTATATCACTGCACACCATAAGACACCACAAATCAGGAACTTAACTACAATAAAACTGCAGAATGATAGTAGCTTAATTTGCTTCCTATTTGAAAGCACATGAAAAGCGAACATCTTGAAGAACTTTTCATCTTTGTTAATGACTAACATCTTTGAAGCCAAACATCCCTTTTCTATTTGTCACTTTCTCCAACAATCATCTCTCTTTTTTTTAGCAAGTAACTCCTTTTTGAGGATGGACACGTACTGATTATCACAGCCCTTCTTTTAAAGGGGTTCTTGCCCCACTGATTGAAGGGCCTTTATGGTGGTAATATGAAAAGCAGCAATCTGAGCAGCTACCTAGTTTCTATCTAGTTTTTATCTAGTTTTGTTTGCCTCATCTAGTTGAGTGGTCTAGGGAAAACAAGAACTGGAAAAAGCAGAAATAGAAAGGAGCTGGACTCTCAAAGTTCAGCTCCAAGCTGCGCTAAGTGCAGCAGCAGAGTGAGATACATGAGTAAAATACATGGTGGTTGCAAGGAAATTGCATAGCCAAACTCATCATACCATGAATTCAGTAAATTAGGACTGGGAAGAATATGTCCTGCTCTACCCTCACGCAATCCAGTAATTCAGTCACTGCCCCTAGTGATGGGGCTAAGATCAAGAAAGTAGAGAACTACAGGGTTCATTCTCTAGGATAGATACGATGAGGAGAGCGACGGACCAAATTCCTCCCTCAACAAAATAAACAAAGAAATATTCCCCAAAAGCAGCTGCTTCAAAACAACTTGCATTTGCAATAGTCCGCCCAGTACTGATGATTTTATCTCTCTATAATGTCTGAATTTGCCAACTGGCAAAGACATCTATGTTATTGTAAAACATAGCCATGTTATTAATGAAGTAAAATTTAGCATTTAGAATTTCAACAAACTAATATATTTTAAGAGTTTTCAATAGTCTAAAACAAAGCAAACAAGTGTACTCTTGACAAGAAAGCAAGCGTGCACTTCTTAGCCTACAGGCATTCTCACTGCAGTAGCAGTAAGCGTAACAAGCACTCAAACAGAAGTGGCTTTTTAGTATCCAAGCTGGAACTGCTAAGGCTGAACTCCAAAATCTGATGGTGTAAAATGCATTTAAAATTAGATCTTTAGACTTTTGGACTTCATAAATAGCTAAAACAACAGCAGCAAAAACAACCAAAAACAGTTATGGTTCACACACCTTCCAACAATATCCAGAAAATCTAGTGAGTATGCTCAACTGAGGACTGTAAGAAAAGAAAAGAACATGGTCTCATTCCTTTTATCACTTCCCAAGATCATCCAGAACTGTGCTAAGCACATTAGACTGAAAGGCTTAATCTGCAAGAGCCTCATCCAGCAAAAAAAAAAAACCTCAGAACAGTTTAACTTCAGAGCAGTTCCTAGGATGATTCAGGTGCTGGAGTTAAACAAAACAAACAGATCTTTGCAAGATCAGGGTCACTGGGTTAAATCTAAGTTTATGCAAAGAGTTGGCACAAATGCTCCTCACTGTTTAAGTCTGATGTAAATCCTCAGGACAGGGTTCACTGGGATAAGTGGTACAAAGGCTTCCAGCTGGCCTTGTGCACAGAGGTGAATTTTAAGAAAGGCATTTAACAGGCAGCAAGAGGCTAAAAAGATATAGGCAAGACAAATAGAAGATGCTGCCGTCATTCTGTTTAGGCATATGTATTCTACTGTTCTAAAAATGTTTTATTTAAAATGTGAAATGTAAACACATTCTCATGTTTATACTATTACGAGGCAGTAAAAAAGAGACCAAAAAAAATTGCAGCTAAATCTTAGTAAGAGAAACGTGGATCATTTCATGACTGTGAAAAGAATAGTCCAGACAACATGCCAGATCGCAATCTCAGCTACGCTGATATGAATGCAGAGAAACTCCACCACGACTGGTAGAGCTTCCCAAGTGTTTACATCAGCAAACTGAGACAGAGAGGTGGTTCCAGATTAGAAATCTCAAGACAAAACAACAAAACGCCTTTATTTTTGCTTTTATATCACTACTAACTAGAAATTATATAGCACTTCATTCAATCATTAGTGGGATAAACTATTTTCTTTAAGAATAACCCCCACTTTAAATATATAAACAAAGCCCTAAACAATAACTACCGAATTTTATACACAAAAGTGAACAGAATCTCTTAAACTGTACAACAAAACAGCTAAGAGTTTCCTGCATTTCTCAGAGGACTGATCTAAGCATAAATTGACATGGGAAAGAGTATTCTCTGTTCTTTGACACTACGCTCAAATAACAGGGAAATTACCACAGCTCAGAGCTGAACACCTTAACAGACTAAAGATCCGTTAACCTGCTGTGATCTTACATTTGTTTAATTACTTATCACAGTATCATCAAATGCTGCTGCAGCCCTTGCATACAGGTTTTCCTTCACACACGTTAGTTTCTTACATACAGAAAGAAAGAATAAGGAAGAATAGGAAGAAAATAATTCTAATTACACGTTGTGGGCGTGAATGAACTCGTTCTTGGAGCTCCTTGGGTAGTGGGAGGAGGTGGCATTGTTGGAGGCGTCAGCCTGGATTGTGTCTTCACATCCACAGGTGAGTCTGGCATTGTGGAATGCTTCTCAGTGCGATCTGTAACACACCATAGGAACACACTATTTTATTTCCCCAAGAACATCCGCTCTGAAACAAAAGCTTAAAAGCAAAAGCAGGAAGTGAGACATTTCAGCACCTGCTGCAAAACATTACACCTGGTTATCTATTCCAGTGTGCACCAGCAGAATTGCATCATCTGAACCTTACTTAAGAAGGTGCAGCATAGATGAGAAGACCTCATTTGTAGCAGTGCTGTATTATCTTTTGTTTTTCATTTCTAGCATGTGCAGATGCTGCCTCCAAAGCACTCCTGGAAGTGCAATAATGCCACCTCCCTTCAATGTCAGCCAGGAGGAAAAAGGAGATGAAGAAACAGGAAAGTAATAAATCCCCTTACAACAATCCTTACAGGAGTATAAGCAGAAGCTCTTTAGTACAGGTGAGATATTGGGCTGAAGGATACTGGTTGAAGGCAGCTCTTGTCATGCCTTTGTAAGCAACGAGAGATACTTATGTTAAATACCAGTGCCTCCCGGATGACTTTGCCACCATGCCCCTGGATATTCTCACATTCCCATCAAGAATAAACATGTCAAAATGATAAGTCAATTGCCAACCATACAAATAAATAAATAAATAAATAAATAAAGCATAACATTTTAAAATTTACATCTTTACACATTAAGAACAACTGTAATGTTCAAAACCTGTAAGACATGAAAAACAACAACAAAAGGAAAAACAGGCAGAAAACCTAACAGTTCCCTTGCAAGTAAAAAGCTAGTAGATATTTCATATACGTGCTACAGAAACATCTTTTTGGATCATTCTGTGTTAAAGTTGATGTGGAGGGAAAAAAAAAAAAGATAAATAAATAAACAGGAATATAAAACCATCCACATCCTTGTGCTTCATTTATCGAAAATGGGCAAAAAGAGACAACATTTACCAGCGGATAGCAAAAGTAACACAATAGCTTAGTGGGCCATCTTGAGTGAAGATGAAGCTTAGCTTTAAATGGACATGAGTCTTGCATACCTTCTTCTGGGGTTAGGATTATTGTTTTGTTTTTTACAGACTGTCCTATACAAGGCTTCATGTGCTCCATTAAGCTGTGTAGCCAAAAAGCGTCACCACTATTGGGTTAACAGATGAATTTGCCGTTTCAATTTACAACAATGGTAAAGCCAGGAATGTTTTACAAATTCTGCTGCTTGACTTTGAGAACGTGTATCTTGTTAGAACAGAGAATTAAAGTTCACAGGGAAAAGAAAAAAAATTATATAAGGTCTTGCATGTGAGAGAGACTAAATGCCCTTTATGAAGGAGCAGTGTGTTTTTAAAAGCCTCAAAAATTTAATTATCAGAACTTTAATTTATCAGAAGAAGAGGGAGAGAAAACAATGAGGGATACAGGTACAGTAGAAAAGGATCTGCAGTTTGGATCTCAGATTAGCTAACCTCAGTAGCATAGGGAACAGTATCCAAAATCCAAATATTAAGTATCACGCACAGGTAAGGTTTGATTTGCAAATCAAGAGATAGTACATTACTACATGCTGAAAAACAAAAGTAGGTTTTAAAATATATTTCTATACAAAATTTCCTTTCCACATCACTACACTCAAACAGTTAAGTCTATATCTTCAACAAGCCATTCATTTAATATAAAGAACTACAAAAACTAGTCTTGAAATGTTAATTGCTTCCTTAATAGCTGAATTCATCTCGCACTCACCTCAACCAACCTCAGCAACAGGGGAATAAATAGCTTTCAGCTCATGTTGCAACAGAGGGAAAGAGGCACAGCAGTAAGCCTGAGCCCTCCTAAATAAAGGCAAATATTTCTGCCATGCCAAGAAAGGAGAGAGAAAGGGAGGCTTGCCAGAGCTGGTGGGGAGATAACAGTGGGAACTGCTGGTCCATCTGGTTTTCATTCTGCTAACACTCACGCTGAACTGTTAAGGAAGGCAGTCCAGGTACACAGATTTGAAGCATGTGGGAGCGCAGACACAGGCAGGGAGGAGATGGAGGTGGGTGGAAGAAAGAGTGAGAGAAACCAAACCCTGCTCAGCTGCTGCTCGCGCCGAGCAGGCACAGGCTGTATCCCACAGCTCAGCTGCTGGGAACTAAAAGCGAGCTGAAACCAGCACTGTAACCAGCCGCACCTCTCCTGCTCCCGATCCGCATTGTTCCAAAATTAGGTCTGTTCCCAAAGGCTCAGATCAGAGGGGGGAACACTTTTCCCAAGAGCTGGAGATATTTTGTTACTTAAATTGAAAGCTGTAGTGGGAAATAGTGTGTGGGTTGGCTCTCCAACTGCAGATAGTCACCGCTGCCATCAAGCTGGTTTTATTCCCTTCAAAACTGTCTGCTGCCCTATTTGCAGACCACTGACATTATCACTACTTTTCATATACCTCTGCTCTGATATTAGGTTTTACTTTTTCTAATCACCTTTCTTTGTGAAGAAATAGATAAACAAAAACAATTTGACAGGCCACAGATGTCCCCCTGTCCCCTGCAAAGCCATACAACCCATCCTGCTACTGTACAATGGCAGACTTTTATTTCTGCTAGTCCATAAGCACTCCAGCAAAGTGTTCTGTAAGGAGATAAAAGACTTGCTTTCAAGCTCATCACAGAACACTTCAAACCAAGGTACTATATTGTCTTGTCCGAATAGAGAGATGGGGAGGAAAAGAAAAAAAAAAAAAAAAAAGGAAAATTTTGTGTAAGTATGGTATAAAATGCAAAACTTTTCCATGTGCTTGGAAACAGCCCTGAAAAGCATCCTGCCCCACTGTTCTCTCATACTTCCCATCTTTCTAGCCTCTTCAGTAGCAAAGCTCCTGCAGGAGCCTCTATGTCCTTTCTGCTGGTGTTTCTCTGCTCCTCACCTCTGTGACAGATTCCCCAGCTCCTGCAGAAGATGCACATCACTGCACCGGATGCTCTGCACCCAGCTCTATCCCAGCACCCAGCTTGGAGGACCTCAGCTGCCAAAGTTTTCAGAAGAAGGCTTCTTGGAGATGGAGTGGTGAAGGAGCACACAGCAGAGCTGCCAGTCTCTGTCACCTGAACTCACAAAGCTTGTAATGTCTGAAAAACAGCCTAGAACCTCACCTCCTACAAATCATTATTAATTTAATTTAAAACAAAACAAAACAATTTTTTAAACTCTAATTGTTGAAAAGTAACCCGAAAATATGCAAGCTAAAATCAAAGCAGTATTTAAATTGCATTTATTCATGAGCCAGGTTGCCCCTAAATCTTGTTATATGAGAGGTTTCACATTTTTAAGAGCAGCTCTCTGTGGTTATTCTGCTAACTGTATATTCAGAGGTGATGAAGGGATGGGAGGGGTAGATGGAATCCTGCAAAAGGAAAAACTGCATCATTTATGAGTGAAATCCTGCCTGTTCCAGACTTCAGGTACATCTGCCCTCTAACACAGGAGCATATTTCTTGAGCTTTGCCTAAAATTTGGAAGAGCTTTAAGGGAAACATCTCTTAAAATCACTTAATTTCTTGAATTCCAAATATGTTTATGTTCTCGTGTCAAAACAAACTCCTCATTTGCAAAGCAGCCTTTGCTATTTTTTTCTGTCGGAATCTGACATTCCAAATAATAATCCCAAATTAGGAGAGATGTGATAGAAAATTGCTCACAACATCATCCATTTCAGTGTGCCGGCTGCATATACAGAGACAGTAACTTGTTTCAGATGCAAAGACTTCTTCTATAGACAGAAACCTTCTAAGCAGTGATGAAGTCAGACTCCTTAGCCTAGTTCTCATAAAATTGGGCTGAAACCAGAGGTCCTCCAAACCAAAGAGAAAAGGAGACATCTGCAATTCATTCTTCACTACTTGCTGCAATCAATTCAGGATGGAAATAGATGGTGAAATAATGGGCTAGTCCTAATCCATACACACAACCCTCTGGTGCAGTGAGAGACTTAGAATAAATTCAGAAAATATGTTTCAAGTATGCAGAGATCTACTGCATTTGCTTTGGATTATACTGAAAAAAAAATTCTGAAATATACATTCTTGAATCTCTTTTACAGCAAAGAGTGAAGAACTGTGACTTTACCACAGAAATATTTTGCTCCATTTAAAATTAAAGAATGTTGTAAAACCAGCTTTAAATTACGATATTTCTTCTGCGGATTTCTTGGTTCGTGAAACCATACAGTTCTTGTCATTCATACAGTTTTTATGGGAGGAGTTATTTTTATCACTATTACTTAGATGTTAGGTGAATGTTGATATTTGCCGTAAACCTGGCCAACTTCTGAAGGTAAATGTGGACGACACAAAGTAAAAAGTGCAAGAGCAAGAGCAAAAAGAGATGTGCATGTATTCAAACTGATTTACTTTACTTCCTGTAGCCTCAATGATTTAGTCCTTTTTTAAAACAAGGCAGGCTTTCATATATGGCAACGTTTCAGCTCATGTGGCATGCTTCCAAGTCTAACGCATCAAGGAAAGCTGATGTATGGAACAAAATATGGAATATATAAATACTTTACTGATACCATTTCAATAGCCAATTCAACGTCAAGCATTTCAAGGGGTGGTGTGTTTTCAATTTCCTTTTTTAAATGAAAAAAAGTATGGTATAATATGCTGTGGCATTTATTTTACTTTTAGTTAGAGCAAACAGTTCCAGATGTATATCCAGGCATGAAAGATACTTAAAAGACGCTCTATATTGATTGTACAGTACTCACTACTTCTGTGCCAACACATTAAAAATAAGAATAAAAAACCTGCCAAATTAGAAGCGTCCATTGTCTTGATTCCTTTAAACTCACAGAAAGCACAAATCCTTCATGTGACACAAGACTAGAACCTGCCCCTTCTACTCAAATTATATAAATTGAGACCTAAATCTGTACCATTTAAAAGTGAAGGTTGTTGCTGAGTTGACGCTGGACTAATCCTCAATGTTTTGAGTGTGATGACATAGAATTTGCAAGCAGATAACAGACTTTGAGTCCCAGAAGTCTCTACCCAGACTCTCCGCA